CTTCCGATGGGAGATGTATTTGAGAGAGACAGACAGGCTTGGGTTGCTGTAGGACTAAAAGCTCCTGTTGTAATGCACAACAAATCATATTCTAATTTTAAAACTTGCCTTTCTGTCTCTGCTTTGGTTGTTACTTTTTTTCTGCCCTCTTGCATGTTTAGGAGATGCTAAGTTTGTGTCTCACTTAAATCCTCAGCAATTCATGGAGATAGAGCCGGAAATGCTTGCTATGGAAACTATTGTGCCAGTCTACTTTGCAGTGGAAGATGAAGAGCTGCTGTCTATCTATGAACAAACGCGGGCTGCTTCTGCGTCCCAGGGTTCTGCCTCGGCTGCAGAAGGTGAGTTCTGACAAGGGGGGGAAAGGCTTAGAGGAAGACAGTCCTGATCCCACCTCTGGGAGCAGTCTGCTGCGTCATATGCACCACGAACCGGTGTTCTGTTGCCTTCGTGTTTATTCTGTCTTTAAGGTGCTTTGAGATTTAATGGAAGAAAAACATAGTATAAGAGAGAGTATTACTTGACTATATTTGGAAATACAGTTTCACGGAGTCAGTTTTCAGCTTTACACTGTTGCAAGTAAGATAGAAAGCAAAACTCAAGTTAAAAACGACATTGAAGATGTTAAGTGACTACAGTGTGTTGGTGGAAGCTGAAGCTTTTTTTCTGACCACCAGTCAGTTCAGTGCTTCCATGTATTGCTCTGTAAATAGCTTTACTCTCTTACTGACCTGCTGCTTGTGATTAACTTTAAGACTGCTGGAGAAAAGGTTTTGTTCTAGCCAGCTCAAAATATTGGGATTTCAGGACAGAATGGAAATGCACGGTCACCAGGATTCTGTGTCAATGCATAGACAAAAGGGACAAGTGAAAGGGCTTAAATGGTTTAAAGCTGGTCTCTCCAGAGCTCAGTTAGCAAGGGAAAAAAAGGGACGAAACTTTCCCAGGTGTAATTTTTTTTTTTTTGTTCTAGTTCTGCTGCACACGGCAACTGCCAATGGCTTCCAGATGGTGACCAGCGGGGCTCAAAGCAAAGCCATCAATGACTGGCTCATACCCAGCGTGGAGGTGAGTTGTGTATTTGGATTCAAACTGGTAACACTGATGGGATGCCGCCTTTTAGTGGGACTTCATCAGATATTTGTGCTGACAGGGGAAGTCAGGGGAGTCTCAGCCAGGTATCTGAAGTCCTCAGGACTGAGGCCACTGCAGACTCAGTAGGTGTGTAGAAGTCAGGCTGTCTTTGTACAGGCGCACAAAGGGTGATGCCAAGCGACACCGACCTCTTTCCTCTGCAGGGAAGGCTTACGGGGCTGGGTGGAGAAGACCTGCCCACTGTTGTGATAGTTGCCCACTATGATTCTTTTGGAGTGGCTCCGGTGAGTATTCTTTCTTCCTGCAACTCTCTGTTCCTGTTTGTGTGTTCCTGTCTTTTTTCCCATGTGGCCTCTGCCCCTATGTTTTTTTCTTGGCCTTAAAGACATGGGGCAGTTATAAGTGGAGCGTGGTGGTGTGCTATCTTGAAGGCTGTTCTGGTACATGAGAGTAAGTGTAGGGTTGTCACCTTGTCTCTGTCCCGCTTCATCCCGCAGTGGCTGTCACACGGTGCTGACTCCAATGGCAGCGGTATCTCAGTGCTACTGGAACTAGCCAGGCTGTTTTCCCGGCTCTACACCTACAGACGTACCCATGCTGCGTAAGAAACTGCCCTATTCTTGGTTGAATGTGTGTAGCTGAGATCAGATAAGAAGGCCTTTTGCTCCGGACCTGTAGAGTGTTACAAGCAGTCTTCTACTTTGCTCTGTTTTGCTTCCCTCTGAGTACAGCTGCTGTTAATGGCCAAGCTCCTTCCTTTGGTTTCCTTGCTGTAGCTCTGCTCAAGCTCAGGGACAAGTGGAGGGAATGGTGTGGGAAGTAGATTCCATACTCAAGCACTGGAAACTCCCCCCCTTTACTCCTGTCCTGCCATTACCTTAGTATGTGGCATGTAGGAAGCGTTTGTTGATGGACAGTTTGCCTTGAATGTCGGGTGCTAGCTGTTGTGATGCCACCACACCTCCAAGGCTGAGTAAAGGAGTTCTGTAGCCACAGAGTGCAGCAGGCTAACACTTTTCTGTCTTCTTTGATGGGCAGGTATAACTTGCTGTTCTTTGCATCCGGAGGTGGCAAGTTTAATTATCAAGGAACCAAGCGGTGGCTGGAAGACAATTTGGACCACACTGGTGAGTAAGGGGCTGGCATTCCAGCATGTTCTGTGGCAAGGCCTCTGTTAATAGGATTGTGTCAAGTGTCTCGTATGTCAGCCCTCCTGTGAGAATCTCCTTGTGTGGGCCTTGCTTTTTGGGGATGGAAATCCCAGCACAAAACATAGCAATAAAGGTTTGGATTTTTCTGTTCCAGATTCCAGCCTGCTGCAGGACAACGTAGCATTTGTTCTCTGTCTTGATACTCTGGGCCGAGGCAATAGCCTTCATCTCCATGTCTCAAAGCCTCCCAAGGAGGGGACCTTGCAGCACGCGTTTCTGAGGGAACTGGAGATGGTAATGAAAAGCATTTTAGGTAGATGGGAACTTGGGACTTACTGTGGGGAGCTGCAGCTCTCCAAGAGAGGAAGGAAGGAAGACGTGAAGAAAGGGTGTGCCATTGAAATATTTCATGTATTTTGTACAGTCACTTGATTTGAAGTGCAGATAAATCCTCATGCCACAGTCCCAAATGAAGCAGACTAGATCTGCTGCATTTTCCACTGCACTTCCTTATGGCTTGCTGCTTGCAAAAGCTACCCTGTAGTGACATTAAAACAGGTTTTCTTGACATTAAAACAGTTTTTTAATGGCAGTAACTGCACCTTACAGATGGAAATGTATTTACCTTCTGGAACACACACACAAAAAAAATGCATCTAGGTGGTCTGGGCAGTGTAAGATGGGACTATGCAGTGGGCAGCATGACACCCTGGATGGTTTGTCCTTTCTCTCAGGTTGTTGCCAGCCAGTTCCCAGAGGTGAAGTTTTCCATGGTGCACAAGAAGATAAACTTGGCTGAGGACATGCTGGCATGGGAGCATGAGCGTTTTGCGATCCGACGCTTGCCAGCATTCACCATCTCCCATCTGGAGAGCCACCGGGACAGCCTGCGCAACAGCATCATGGATAGGAGGTTAGAGGCCTTAGGGAAGGCTGCAGCTGAAATCTAGCCTGTAAACGCAAATTGGCCTTGCGACTGCTTGTGCTGTTCTGATGGTCAGAGGATGGGTGCAAAACCCCTGGGAGTTGGGCTCTGGATTCAGGCTCATGCTTGATGCAGTGAAAAAGGGTGGTTTCGAGGGGAAGGTGATCCCATTGACGGATTCATAATCCCCTCTTTTGCTTTAGGGCACGAATAGACACTAAGGCACTAACCAGGAATACTAGGATCATTGCTGAGGCTTTGACAAGGGTCATCTACAACCTAACAGACAAGGTAAGAGCTGCCCATTGTGCAGTGCTAGCCAGATTTGTCCTGCCCGACCAAGCTTGCTCTCACCAATAGCCTGGGTTATTTTTTTTCCCTTGCAGGGAGCACCTGCAGATCTGCAGATCTTCACGGATCAGATGGTGAGCACAGTGCATTTTTGTGACCTGTGGGAAGAAGGAATCAAGAGTCTGGGAGAGAGGTCTGGTCTTGGCATATGTGTGGTTGACTCCCTTTCTTTGGTATTTTTCTGCAGCAGATCCAGCAGGAGCAAATAGAATCAGTGATGGACTGGCTGAGCAGTCAGCCCAGGGCTGCCCAGCTGATTGATAAAGACAGCACCTTCCTCAACACCTTAGAATATTATATGGGTCGCTACCTGAAGGATGTCAAACAGCATCATGTGAAGGCAGACAAACGGTAAGAAAAGAGATGAAAGAACAAGCTAGAGCATGCAAACTGGCTTCCCCCTCCAATGAATTTTGTCTCTGAGCTGCAGCTTTTCTGCCGTCTTGGCATGTAGCTGGAAGTGATTGCTCTCTTCTGCTCTCCTGTCAGTTTTGGTTCATGCTCTCTGTTCTCCCAGAGAAAGCTCTTTATCATTCCTCACAGCACAGTAACGAGTCCCAGCAGCTCCCTCTGTCTGAAGAGCTCATTTTCTCACTGTTTTGGTTCCACCCTTCCCACTCTTGAGTGCTGCTGCTCCCTGAATGCAGGAAAAGACTAAGGTCCCCTAGAAAGCTTTCTTTAATTGCAAAAAGGCAGCTTCCATCCTGTCCAACCTGCCTGGGTTGAAGCAGTTTAATGAACCCGGTGAGGTGTCTTCCATGTGCCTCTTCTGAGACAGCTGAACAGCATGTGTTCTGAACTGTATCCTTAGGCTTCTGAGTGTAGGAAAAGAAAGACTTGACAACTAGAATCGGTTCAAAACTGGTATGCAATGTGCTCATGCTTACCTGTCTCTGGTTGGATGAACTCCTTAGGAATGGAGGTTTGGGCTGTCCTTACTGCAGTGTCAAGAAGCGTAGTAGAACCTGAAGAATTTCTTCTTTTCACAGGGACCCTGAGTTTGTTTTCTATGACCAGCTGAAACAGGTGATGAATGCGTACAGGTAAGGAATTTCCTTGGGCACGTTGGGCTATCGTCTCACTCTGTGGTGGTAGCTGCTGTAGCAATTTCATGTGTTCTTTCTTTATTTCAGGGTCAAGCCAGCGATCTTTGACCTGCTTCTTGCTGTCTGTATCGCGGCCTACCTTGGTGTTGCCTACGTTGCAGTGCAGGTAAGAGAAGAGAAGCAGGAGACAGATGTATTATTTTCCTCATAAATCACGTTAGCTACAGTAATCAGTGCTCACACAGTCCTAGCACCAAAGTTGGAACAATAATGCCACCCCACTCTAAAAGTAGTAATCCAAAATGGCTGGCTGGTTTTGTGTATGTTTTTGAGTATCTCAGTTGGCTGTGCTGAAGGCAATCTCTAGCCATTCTAGTGCAAAACTGGTTTAGAGAGCTCCTTCTCTTGGTCAAGAACATGCACAACTCGCTTGTTAAGTTATTTTGGCTATGTAACAACTTCAGACTGAAACTTCTCAAGGTAACTAAAATCTGCTGTAATGTTAAAGATTTGCAGCTTGTAGTAAGTTAGGAGTGTTAGGAGATCCTTCCACTATCTGAACTTGGGATGCAGCTTAGAAATGCATCTTCAGGGTTTGGTTGTTTTTTTGGTTGGTTGGTTTTTTTCCCTCAATGAAACCATAAATACATCCTGTGACCATGCTCCTGGAAACGTGATACTCCATGCCTTGGCCAGCTAGTGTTTTTGTGTAAGCGTTAACAAAGCCACTGTGAGCTAGACTTTGATCCTGGCTGGGTTCTCCGAAGAACATGAACGAAAGGGAAGCATTTTAGGTCAATCTAAATTTTGATCTCTTAATGTTATTTGTGTGTGTGTGTTTGGGGAAACAACAAGCATTTAAAAATCTGATGTAACAATGTAAACAGGAGGAAAAACATATACTTTGATTTCTGTCAGCTATCTTCGTTATGTTTCTTATTACAAGTTATTTGAAGCCTGGATCTTGTTATATCTGTCAAATATCTGAAGTAGTTGTTATCGAATAAAAAGGCAGTTAATCAAAGCTGAATCAATAGAAGAATTAAGGAAATTTCTAAGTTACTGGTGAAATGGTGAAAGAGAAGATCCAGTTAAAGGATTGTGAACTACTGCGAATCTCTGTGCTTCCCTGGTTCATTTTTACATTCCTGAAACTGCTAGCAGCAGTGTTTCTGTAGTGACCAGTATTATGCATGTGTTGAAATCTGAAGCTTTCTCCTCCCCTTTGGAAGGAACAGCATGGCATCAAAAAACTGTAAAATCTTGAACAAATGTTTGCATCTTCACAATGGGGGTGACACAGGCCTGCACAAGCACTTCTGTAAGCCATCACTTTCTGTACTACTACAAGTAACTGGATTCATTGTAATAATTCCTCCTAATTCACCAAGTCCCACTCCATCTTCAGGATGAGAGTGCTAGTGGACGATCCAAATAAGGTATTGCATTTGCACATTAGTATTGTTTTAAGCCTTCTAGTAAGTTTTCTCTCTGTGTAGAACACAGTCATTTTATTAGAATTTATAAGGACTCATAGTTACTTATTTTCCCTTCTGCTTCCAGCACTTTGGTCTCCTTTACAAGATGATACAGAGATTGTCCCTTAAAACCAAGCAGCAGTGAAGCAACGAGTCATCACCCATACAGCAGTACTGAGCCATCGGTGAGCCCATCAGGAACCTTCTGCCTTCCATTGAATCCTGCTGTTTCTCTTTCTCTGTCTCCTCTTTGCTACTCTAGAGAGAGGAGGAAGGCAGAAAGAAAACGAAATTTTAACTCTTGTGCACCTTTTAAGTGCTTTTCTTCACTTTCTTCCCCTGACTTGCACCATGTCTGTTTTCCTTTGCTTTTTGGTGAGGGAGAGGCTCAGAGACTTCAGTGGTTCCTGCGGGTTGTTTAAACACTGAACGGCTGATTCTGAGCAGCTTCTCTGAGAGTAAAACCAAGTCCAGCACCTTCACGGACACATGTGCCATACAGCCAACTTGGAAACTGAAACTACGGAGTAGAGTGACATGTTATCTCTGCCCAGCAAACAAGGACTCAGAGCAGTTGTTTAAAAGGAAAAAAAAGTGCACATGCAAATTAAAGAGAATACTATTAGCATGTTTTCTTATGGCACCTCTTCCTTAAGTTCACTGCCTGGCTTTAGGAAGGTGTGCTGAGCAAGCGGTGTCTGCAGCAAGCATCTTCTTGCATTTTGTTTAGACTGTGCAATAACTCATTCCCTTTTAGGAGGTGCACTGTAAACGGTCTTGACTGTTATTGACAGAATGAGGAAAGATTGTTAAAACGGGTTCCTTGCGTTAGGGTTCTTACCAGGACAGGTTCTCTCCCGTCTCTATTGGAGGATGCATTTTGCTGTGTACTTGATTTCTCTTGAAGTTTATGGTCCTTGAACAGTTCACAGCTGCCACTGCTCTGTGCTAAACTCTTGCTTGGTTTTTAAGGGGTGTTCTACAGTTCCAGCTGCTGCAGGATTGTGTTCCGTGCCGCTCCATGTCCTTAAACGAGCTGGTTATATTAATAGCAAGAGCAGCCCAGCTCCCTGCTGAGCTCTGGTCTGTAACCCCTTCAATCTTCATTCCTCAGTTTTCATTTCCAGACGGGTTCTGGATTTTGGGGTGTTTACCCATGTTCACCTGCATCTCAGGGTCTCATTTGACATTTTTCAGCTCTATTATTTCTGGAAACACTGTTCCTGGCCTGCACGCATGAGCAAGTTCCCAAAGTGCTTGTTGCTGTCCTTTCACGTGCTGCCCCCAGTGTGAAGGGAGGCAGGTCACTTAGCCATTAAAAAGCAAAACAAAAACAAACAAACAAAAAAAAGAGTTTTATGAATGTCATTTTAAACATGGCTGTTTCTAGAACTGTACCTAAGAGAGTGTATCTTGGAACACACGCTCTCTGTTACTTTTTATCCTTGAGCAAGCCTTATCTTTAGTTTGCTGATGCTTCTGGATGGAGAGCGCTATGTAGTTGCCCGTGCTATGCAAAGACCAGGAGGGCCAGGTAACCAGTTGCTCAAGCATTGTCATCATCTTAAGTTTAAATCTTTCCTGAATTCCACACCATCCAAGGTAAGCAGGATACTTGTCACCACTTTCTGGTGAGAGATGAATGCCCTTTCTGGGCAGTGTTGCACTTTGTTTACCCTCAAGTTCTGGAAAATATATCAAGATACTGACTACAAGTCCTAGGCTAGTTGTAGTTCTGGAAGATGTCCTGATTGAATACTACTGTCCTGCCACTCAGCAATGTTTGAGTCCTTTCTGTAATTTGTTCTATGCACGAGGTCTCTTCGCAGGCCACAGTGACTACCTTTTTTTTTTTTTTTAAATGACTACTTGTATTTAAAACAGCATCTTTTACAGAGGCTGAAAAGCTCTTGTGGGTTTGAGTGAAGGTGTACGCTTTTTTTGTATGCAAGGAAAATTCAAGCTGTGCATCCTTGTCTGCCCGCTGCTGTGCGCGCACTTGTTAGAAAAGGGGTGGTTGTGGCCAGTCACTGTCCTTGTCCTTTGGATGGGGACCAAAGCACAGATTTCCATCCATCTTTGTGTGTTTTGCTGTAGTCGCATTCTTGGAGCGCCCTTACCCCGTGATGTGTGCTTTCCGCTACTTTAAACGTGTAGCAACTTGCTCTTTAAAGGGCCTTTTCTTTTCCAGCAGAGCGTGCTGATGTCAGTGGTTCGCTGTAATATCAGCAGGTGGGCATGGTACCAAGCACTCCTGAAATATCAGCCCTACAGGGAAACTTGCCTTTTTCTGATCTTTTGGAGTGCTTATTTAAAATACGTCTCTCCGCATGCATGAAGTGTTTGTGACACTCCTCTGCCAAATGAACTTATGACAACTTCAGAAATTGCTGGAGTGGCTGGAAGAGGAACCTTGATTGTTTTCCACTGGCTTTTATGCTCTGTCCTTAGAGACTGTATATGTTGTGCCATGGGAAGGTGCATGCTCTGGACTGCGTAGGTTCAGAATATGCCTGGTACAGTGGCTATCTGAAGAACTTCTCTGTAGGTTCTGAATATCGGGAAGTAGTTCAGAGGCCTCCAGCTGCATGATACGTTTCTAGTGTGTTACGCTTGGAGGGGGGTGTTCCCTCCAATCCAGCAGATTACTTAATAACGAAACTCCATTACTTCACTGAGAAAAATAGGAAAACCAAAATTATTAGCAGTCCTGCTGCAGCTTGACTTGATGCATATAAAATTTGTAAGTAGTGGGCAAGAGGGAACAGAACAGGCCTGGAGCATTCTCCCTTGCAGTGGAGACTGTCAGCCTTCCGTCTTCCAGATGAGAAGCTCAAAGTTCAGAGTCAAAAACTTCCACGTCCCTGTCAAGGTTGTAGAATTAAAGCAAATGCTTTAGCTCCTTGTGGTCTCAACAATAAACTGCTAACCCTCCTGATGCCGTGCTGGAAGCCAGTGGCAGCTGTCTAAAAGAAAGGTGGATAGAGGGAAATGAGGAGAGCTCATAACGTGAAGGGCAGTTGGGATAGGGCATCGCGCTCTCCCACACAAGGGTAATTCGTCCTCTCATCTGTTTGGATGCATTTTGTGTATCTCTAGCTGGCTGCCATAGAAAGTAGTTTCTACTGCAGAGAAGGGTTTATGCTTTTGATCAAAGCATGTGTGCACTGAAACATTAGATACTCAAATCTGAGAGAGTCAAATTCCAACTTTCTCATAGCTGGAACAGAGCGCCCAGCCTGGGAGTGAAGTTAGTTCCCGCATTGCTGTTTCCTTTGGGAAGTTGACAGAGAAGCTTGTAAATAGACCCTGCTATTCTGCTAGGTTTTGAAAAAAAACCAAGAAAAATGGTGCTGATCTGTACCGCAGCATATCTGATCAATTCTGTCACCAAGACGACACACAAAGGCAAAAATCCAACAGCTGTTCTGGTAAAATAAAAGTTCTCCACAACATTGCAGAAGAGCTCTGTGTAGCTGATTCTTGTTGCCCCTCTGTTTACCTATCCTTTTTATCAGGCGTTCGCCTGGCCTGGAAGGAAGAAGCATGGAAAGCATTGTCCACATAGACACAAGTGGCTAGCAGTTGATGCTTCTAGCCATAAAACAATTTTCTTTGCTATCTGTCTGACTTTACCTGTTGTCGTGGTGTTGTCAAAGTCTGCAGCTCACAAAAATCTGGTTTTCCAACAGGATTTAAGCACTGAAGCTGTTCATTCCTTCTGTCCACGCCCATCCCCACAGGCACTAATGGGGATTGTATGCGAGTAGTTTGGACTATTGTAGTTGATCTCCCAAATAAGAGAGGTTGGTGCATTGCTATAAAATAAGTACTACTGTGCAATGTGAACTCCACCCTTGTACTCAGTGCTAAGAGGAAAGACCCTGAAGCCAAAATGGAACTAGGTACCCCGCTCTGCGGCTGGAGGAGTCACCACAAGCTATTTAGACGTTTAAAACCACCGATACCCAAAATTGTTGTGGGGGCTTGGTTTTGGGGAGAGGGGGTTGGTTTCTTTGTTTTAAATCACGCGCTGTCATGTTGTTCATAGCACAAGCCAAAATACCGAGTGTCTCCTGCAGCTTGTGGGCAAGCTGGGTTTTAAATTTAAGAGCCATTCAGTCTTGACTTACTGACCTGAAATGATGGGGGTGCTACTGTATGTCTCGGTAAATTGGGCCTCTGGGTACTCAAGAGTGGGCTCCTGCTTGCTCACTTTGATCTGTTTCGTTTCCATTTGTAGTTATTGGATAGCAACTTCAAGGTTATAACCTGGAATATTTGCAGCTCAGGAAAAAGAGTTGATTTATCTAGCAATGTTAACTCAATTATTTATCTCTTGTGTGTCCTAAAGAACAAATGTATATCGAGGTGAATATTTAAAAGCTAATAGAAAATTCAATGCAGTTGATTTACATATTTTTCTGACTATAAATGTAATAATATTTAAGTATTTTAACATTTTTCATTTCCTTATTTGTTTGTCCCTTTTTCCCTTGGAAAAATAAACCGAGTGAGCAGGTTTAATGAACAGATTTGTTGGAGAACTATTTGCTGCTGGAAGCTCAAAAAGCCAGAATCTCCTTGCATTATTTGTGAAGGAATAGACCCCCCCGCAAACAGGGAGAAAATGCATGTGTTAAGAGCTTATGTCATCCCTTCTATATAGTCAAAAGTAAAATAGTGTGACACAAAATACAGACCCTGAGCAAGATTCCAGCACCTTGAGGTGAGCAAATTCCCATTTATTTGAAGGGTTTGTGCTGATGTGAAGCAATTCAAGTTTCTACGCAAGCCAGCTTCAATACTGTGAAAAGCTGCCTGCCTGAGAAGCCAACACCAGCGAATGCTGGTGGTACTTTGTTGTGCCTCTCTCATTACCAAATGACTTTTTGAACACTTATAAACTATTTATTCGAATTATAAACGTTGCAAGAGGTCTGTTCCCTGAGCATGAGTCAGTCCCAGTCTTACAAACCACAGCGGTCGCAGCTGTAGGGTGGGGAAGGATGGAGCCCGTAGCTCATTCCGCCGCCCCGTCATGGCGGGTACCGAGGGGTTCTCCTTGAGACCTTTCGAGCTTCAGCTGCCCCTCAGCTGCTCTCAGGATGGGCACAGTGAGCCTGGGCGCAGGCCCTGCCCGCCCGGGGCGCTGG